TTTTCAGCAACCTTGTATCACATCTATACATGTATCGCGATATCTTGAATATCGTACCAACTGAAACATGAGACGGCCTGATGGAGCACATTCAGTTGCTAGGAGCCATCATAAACGAAAGATTCAGCTGGGTTCCAGGTGAGTCTCTCGCAAAACCAAATTTGTTTGCAAATGAGTGCATTTCGCTTATTTCGTGCAATTTGGGTTGAATTGGAACATAAGCTTGACAAAATCTCAGAGAATACGCCTACCTGATGAGTTGCAAGAAGGGAGCTGTCAAAGAATTTTCAGCAACTTTGTGAGTAGTGTAGGGATAGATACTTATCTGTTTTTCGAAAAGCTGTTTGTTTTAAGGCCGTCTTTTTCCAAGCCTCCACGTATGGGGTGGCCCGGCGAGATTCTCCTCTTTGTGAGTAGTGTATCACGGGATACTTATCTGTTTTTCGAAAAGCTGTTTGTTTTAAGGCCGTCTTTTTCCAAGCCTCCACGTATGGGGTGGCCCGGCGATGGAGATTCTCCTCACCAATGCGCAACCGTTCCTCCTATTCAAACTGTCAACGGCTCACCACAGGCCATTTTAATGCAGCTGATACCCCACTGAAAAGGCATTGAAAACCAAGGAGACAGAATTGATTTGCGTGAATTAATTTGCTCGTCCACAAAGGCTTTGTGAATAAAAGCACTCAATTCGATGAAGTTTCCATTGCTAAACTCGATGAAGCTGTTCAAATCAATCACCCAACAGGGGTTGCCTCGAAGAACGGAGTGCGTTCCAGGACAGAGGGAAATAGTTTGGTTCCAAAGGCATTTGTAGTGCGAGAAACTTGCTTCCGAAAACTGCAGGACCCAGAGAAAACAGGGACTTTTCTCCTTACTTTATACCCTTTTTCCTCCTTTCTTTGTACAAGCGTGATTTGGACTGACCTGCAACCTGAAAATATATGTAGTTCTTAAAACCATATTTGGTAAGCAAATCAGAATTCCTAGTAAATAACGGTTTTGAAGACTGTGGGGTTTCGGGGATAGGTGGGCAGCTGGTCGTGGCACTGAGTGTATTACTCACCTGTCAGTGTCACTAAACGTAACGGTTATAGTTTCCAAATTTTCTGAGTTTTAGGAAAACATGATAACCTGAAGGAAACCACTGAAGAATTTTAAGAAAAATCCTGCTTAAGTGCGAGAAAATCACACTGCTGATCAACCGCTCGTTGCCGAACGGTTTGGTGTTCAAATTACTAGCCGGGAGGTCGCGGGTTTGAGACTCTCTGGAGTTTCCTGAGATACGTACTGGTGATGATTCCCAGTGAGGATGAAACAGCTGTACAGTGCTCCTCGGGGTTTCAACCTAGCTTCCTCGTGCCAAGTTGCCTTGCCACCCGAAGGAAGCAACTGGGGTGAGATACTGTCATATTGCCCAAGCCTAGACAGAAGCAAATGTTGGGTTTAAACCACGGACTTTCAGGTTGGTAAGTCCGCTATCGATCTACTTCGGCTTCCTTGTAAAGTTGAAAAGTTTTCATGTCATGTGACCGATGTAGAATGCAGTGTAAAAATACACCCAAGTTGCGATGTGTCCTAATTCCAAGTTGATCACACTGCCCTTAGCCGAAAGGTAACAAGAACTGAAGGATTGCGGATTTTAGCTCAGTCTTTGAGTGTTTTATTTTGGTTTATGGGTGTAACTGTTATATCTGCTGATTCGCCAGTCTGTGGTATCTGCTGCTGACACGGCTCCAGTGCCGGAGAAAAAAAGACTCACAGAAGGGAACATAACCGTCATATTCCGAACAAACCAGTGCGAGAGCGTGCGTGCGTGCGATTGCAAAAGTTACGACGGCCCCACGTTATTTAAAGGGACCTTTTATGACATTGATCCAGCCTGTCTGATAGGCGTTTGGTGAACACTCATCAACGTTGATCGTGTTTCTATGACATGCCTGAACGATGATCACATTCTTTAGTGCTTCTGTGGCGTGCATGAACACTAATCGGCCTTCGCTGAATTCATTGAATAACTGACTGGCTTGGATGCTTACCGGCTTTCCCAGTGAGATTTTGGCGAATTTGTAGAGTCTCAGTAGGTTCCGGGAGTTCTCGGGTTACTTTCCGGAATTTGACCTTCTTGATAGTAACTACCTGACTACTAGTGCAAGTCCGTGTACCTTCTCTTGTCAAGCACGGAGCTTCCAGATGGAGTCTGCTGGAATCTTCCAGGCTTTCCCAGCGTTAATGTTTTTATGCATCCGTTCCATGGCGTTCGTCCGCAAGCTGTCCCCATATTTGAGAATGTTTAATTTTTGAAAAAATCGTCTATCTTAAAACGATCAGCATCGAATGTGTGTCCCAGTGAATTCAACACACTTCAGTGTCTTTCCATTTCCTCTGCATTCATGCCGAAATCAGACGTTGCTGTCAACGCTGATTTAAATGCAAATGAAGAATCTGCGACTTCTCCTGTTCTGTTCGACGTAGGACAAAATGATGATAACATGGAGAGATTTGGCCATTTTCATCTGAGATCTCGTCCTATGTCAGTCTAGTCAATCAGTGAGGAAAAGCAAAGAAACCCTGTGTTGTCCTTATTGAGAACCATTAGCAGTGCACATCTCAGGCTAGCAGTTGGACAATTAACCGCCTGGCCGCAAGCTGCCGATCAGCACTGTGACAAACACTCGAACAGGATATAAAACCGCTCATCATTCAGTCACATCATGTAGTCATGGCTAGCTCTTTGAGTGACGATTTCTTCAAGACGGAGGTTCCATCCTTTTCCTTGGAAATGTTCGTTCTCTGGACCATTCGTAGATTGGTTGTAATGTGAGCTTTCGACCTTCAAATGGAGTCAGCCCATGCTGAAAAGCTGAGACCGATTGGAACTCATCAGCAGGGCGTCTTCCACAGGTCTTTAGGACATTTTGCAGACCTCCAAGGCGGCAGCTAAAGACTACGCCGTTCGACGACAAGCGTCCAATCAGCTATTTTTTGAGTTTCAATACAAACTTGCGCCAAACCGATAGTGTTTGGGGAGTAGTGGCCAAATGGAAGTGTTAACGCGATTTCAATTTCTTAGCAATTGAGGAACTGGTAAACTGGAGAAAAAACTGCGGCCTATCGGGTGTACCATACTGAAATCAGCGGTAATGTTTTTCTAGATTAAGTGGTGAGACTCTGGACTCAATGGAACTGCCCCTGAGCATTACTGTCAAAAACTGTTCCAGGTGCTCCTGATCACAACTGATCGCTTTTGGAAAAAATGCAACATTATCCGCTCCAAGAAAATGTCTGCTCTTAGGGCAAAGGAAGCAATAACCAACCAGTTAAGTGTTCAAGCACTGGCAGGGTCAGAAACTCCCCGGAATGGCATGAGATACGAACTATTGATTATTTCCAACAAAGCGTACAGTGCTTTTCGGCTGTTCAGCACCGATTGGCTCCCTCTCGAGGATGAAATATCGATTAATCCTTACCAGATATCCGCCACATCAAAACCAAGGGAGAAAATAACGGAATTTCAACCTGCCCAAGAAACTGTGTAAGACGGCTAGTGTTTGTTTTAGTTCTCATATAATCGTCATCAAATAAAGTGTAGGATACGCCCTAACCCTACAGATTGTTTGCATACATTGCGAGTCAGTAAAAAATAGAATCGCCGAACCTTAATTTTCAAAAAACCAGATTTCCCTCTTTTGGATTATCAATATGAGACGTCGATCAGGTTCTTCCGCTTGACGACCAACCATGTTTCATCATTCAACTGTAAAAATCGATTGGTGCCTTGCTGCCATGCCGCCCGATGGAGGCACGTGGGCGGGGATACTGCCAGAATGCCCAAGCCTAGACAGGGGAAGTCGAGAGGCAGAGGCCGGGTTCGAACCACGGACCTTCTGGTCAGTAAATTCGCGCTCTAACCACTTGAGCCGTCTCGCCCCCATTTACGACCGCAAACCAGGTCGATTCAGTTCCAGAAGGTACTTGCACTAATAACAGTCTTTACTGCGGTTGACAGTAGTTTACCGAAGCGATTTGCAGCATGGACAAAATAAGGGGCAATATAAAATGTGGAACAAGTCAAAAAAGGAACTTAACGAATGTGAGGGTCCCTTGGTGAAAGTCCGGACGGCGGGAACGTGTTTCCTCCGCAGTTTGGCTGCTACGTGTACTCCATAATTCTCCGTGGACTTGGAGTGTTTGGCTGACCCCTTGCTCCCTGCACGCGCGCGAGTCTGTGTTTTGACTGCGTTCAGTTTCCCTATAGGTAGGTCCGTCTGCCTGTACGTGGGTCGGTCAGCACGTGAACTGTTGCTACGCTCACTAGATGGTACAGACAATCGATGTCCGATGAGTAGTTTGCGAGTATGAAAAAGGACAAGTCTTGTGATCCAGTGGGCGACTGTGGGCTGAACAGTCAAGTATGTGAGTGACCGCGTAGCTACAAGCTCTCCCTGTAGCCAATACTCATCGACGGTTAGCTGTGTCCGTACTTTTGACAACACACGACTAAGTGTATACAAAGCACCTTTGGATCGAAATGAGTGAGAAAACGTAGGGATTGTTGCACCGGCATGCAGTTCGCGGCTGGATAAACAACAAGCAAGTTTGAGAAGAGAAGAGGCGTTGCCCACGAACGTAGAACGCTCTTTTATAAAGGAAACTACTCACAAGGTTGCTGAAAATTCTTCAACAGCCCACGACAGGTTTCGCCCTTCTTGGAGCTCATCAGGTAGGCGCAGTCCCCGAGTTTCCGTTAACCTTATGTTCTACTTGAACCCAAATTGGACTGTTTT